AGAATAGTTCATGCCAAGACAATCTTCCCGTAACAAACGAGCTGAAGGGACCAACTTGGCAAATGACTGAAAGACTTGTCGCCGGATCAATTGCCCAAGTCTATTCGAATGACACCATTATTTTGTCTTCTCTGATGGATCAATCCGCCAAGTGTTCCCCTCACGCATAAATGCTGCACCGGCTTCTCAAAGAAGCTAATAAGTTTCAAAATTGGCAGCCCATCCCACACGTCACGTTGCCTTTTAAAAGCCAGACAACCATATTTATACAATTTGAGTGACAAAGTCAAAAGAATTTTCCACATGAAAGAATTGATTTGTAGGCCAAAAAAAAAATCAAATCATTATATAAGTCAGTGTTCCCAACATTTTCCACTAAAAAATTATATCCTTGTTGTCGAGCTTGTTTGGATTTTACTTTTTGTTGTATTGTTGTGACTTTTTGTGGTTTCTTAATAAAATTTAGGGTTTGTCCAATATAGGTCCCTACAATTTGAGAATTTATCAAAAATAACCAAAACTTGATCCTTAATTTCAAAAATGTCAGTTTTTGTAAAATATTTCAAATATAGCAAAAAACTCACTTAAATAGACACAAATGCCCTCAAATTTAAAACCCGTATAAACCTAAAAAATAAACCTTATTAAATAAAACTTTGGAATATTTTTAACTAGAGGCGGAGCTAGGATTTTATATTTGAGGGGGCCATAATGTTAAACACAAAAAGTTTAGTTGTATATTTTTTTTGCCCTATTGAGTAAACTAGGGCTGCACACGGTTCGGGTCGGGCCGGTTATGGGCCCAAACCGCATGCCGAACCGAGCTTAGTCGGCAGGCCCAATTGCAAAACCGTGGACCTCCTTTTTAAGCCCATTTTCGAGTTTGGTCGAAACCCGATAGTGTCGGGCCGGGTTGGTTCGGTTCGGGTATTTTCCGAGGCCCAACAAAAGCATCAGTTTTAGAGTTTTTTTTTTTTTTTTTTTTTTTTTTTTTTTTTTCCCCCCCCCTTTTTTTTTTTTTTTTACAATAATCTTCAGTTAGTTGGAACAATAGTTGCTTCAAGTGTCTACTTTGGCACATCTTGGTGGCTTCTCACAACCATTGAGCACATCTGTGATCCATCAAAGCTGCCAGAGGGAAGTCCATGGACATGTCCTGGTGATGATGTGTTCTACAATGCATCAATCATTTGGGGGGTCATTGGCCCCCTCAGAATGTTCACTGACAAAGGAGTCTACCCAGAGCTCAACTGGTTCTTCCTCATTGGCTTATTGGCACCCGTTCCTGTTTGGCTGCTCTCTAAACAATTTCCCAACCAAAGGTGGATCAAGCTCATAAACATGCCCATTATACTTGGAGCCACAGGTTACATGCCTCCTGCTAGGGCTGTGAATTATTTGACATGGCTTACAGTTGGGATTTTCTTCAACTTTTATGTGTATAGAAAGTACAAGGGCTGGTGGGCTAGGCACAACTATATCCTCTCTGCTGCTTTGGATGCTGGTGTGGCCTTCACAGCAGTTCTGCTGTATTTCACCCTCCAATCCAAGGATATCACGGGTCCAAACTGGTGGGGCCTGGAAGCTGATGACCATTGCCCGCTCGCCACATGTCCCACGGCACGGGGTATAGTTGCCAAAGGCTGTCCAGTTCTCTGAGATTAATGTAATTCACATGTGCTTGTGCAAATCATATATAGTTAGCCCAGTTCTGGCTGATTGGTGGCATAGATATGAAGCTGTACAGTTGATTAATTAGTTTGTATTACCTTGAAGCTGCAGACTGAGATTTTAGTCAAAATGTAATAAGTTATTTAGTGCTTTGCATAATGTGAAAACTAGTGTATGAAAACATGCTCTAATACTGAAATAAGTGGCATATAATCTTTAATAAATAACATTATCATATATCAAGCCACCAAGCCATTCACATTCGCTATAATGTTCCATACAAATAAAACAAATTTAGATGCAAATATATGTATGCTGACGTCACTAATGCCAATTGTACTTCATGTCAAAACTCGCCAACTAGATGCATATTAAGGATTTTCCCACATCAACATAAATATTTCCAAATTTAGATTTTTGTGTCTTTGACCTGTACTCCATTGCACTAGAGATTAGGCCCTAAAAACTGGTTTCTTGAAAGAGTGGTGGTATTTTGGACCACATTCTTTCCTTTTTGTCTGAAATCTCCATTAAAAGTGGGACTTGAATCACAAAAATTACTCTTAGTTTTGTATAAAAAGTTGTCAGTAAGATGGTCAGTAAATATGTTGCGAATAAACTCCTTTCTTCTTGAGAAAAGAAAAGTTCTAAGTATTGCGTGTTTGCTTTATTTGTAGAGCGTAGTCTATATCATTGCAAGCTTGTTCTTTGCAGAAGCCTAGCGTGCACATAAATGGTATTCTTTGAGAGAGAATAAAAGGAGGCAAAGAAAGATGACAGTCTACGAAGATGGCGACGGTGAAACCAAGTCTCATTCCAAGATCCATGTCAATGGTAAGTCCCCCTAGCAAACGTTTATGCAGAAAAGCACTAAAAGCAAACATTTGTGTGAAATGTAACACTAGGTGACGGTGTTATTGTCACACGCCCCAAACAATTACTTAGAAAATGTTTTTATTTTCATTCTATATATCATCGTAATGATAAGATATATAGGCTAAATATCGTTGATTGTTGAAAAATGTAAAAATACCATATTAAAAACTTGACAAAAGTAAACTGGGGTGAATCCACTGAAAATAACACCGAAACATCTTGTGATCAAACGTCACACAGCTATGTTGGTGACTAAATTAAGAACACTATCTAGTAGTCCATTGATTTGTCTCTCTGAAATCTTAAGCTATCATTTTAGCTTTCTATTTTCCAGAAATTCAACACTTTATCAATCAAATCTACAATTGATTAACTGATGTTGTCAAACATTTGTTGATGCAAAAACAGATGATGAAGTGGACGACAACCCAATTGAGCAAGTTAGGCTAACAGTTCCAATCACAGATGACCCATCAGAGCCAACCATAACATTTCGAACATGGGTGCTTGGCCTATTATCATGCACCACTCTTGCTTTTATCAACCAGTTTTTTGGGTACCGCCAAAATCAGCTCTTCGTTTCCTCAGTGTCTGCCCAAATTGTGGTCCTCCCTCTTGGCAAGTTGATGGCTGCGGTCCTTCCAACAACACAATTTTCAGTCCCCTTCACAAAATGGTCTTTCTCATTCAATCCGGGGCCTTTCAGTATGAAGGAGCACGTTTTGATCACCATATTTGCAAACTCTGGATCCAACAGTGTTTATGCAGTTAACATCATCACAATTGTCAAGGCTTACTACCACAGAAGTATTCATGTTATGGCAGCCTTCTTGTTAGCTCACACCACTCAGGTAAAAAATTTACAAGTTGATGCAAGTTGGTTCACAATGCATTAACGGTTGATAGTAATCCACTGCGCGATAGCACTGACACTGCAGTTAAAAAGATTACATGCATTTACATTACCAGTCTTTATTTCTTCGAAACCTGCAATCTTTTATTTGGTTTATTTTGTGGCTCAACATTATTACGGTTGTGACAAAAATAGTCAGTCACATAAATTTTTATGTGTATGAAATCTTTTCAGATGCTTGGATATGGATGGGCTGGATTATTCAGAAGATACCTTGTTGACTCCCCTTACATGTGGTGGCCCAGTAATTTGGTTCAAGTCTCTCTATTCAGGTACTTTAATTCAATTTGTCAAATTGAAACAATTTTAGCTAATTGAGTCCGTAATACCGTACTACATTATAATTACTCAACCCGCACTTAAAGTTCTGTGTTTCCAATTTCCTCTCCACCAATATCGCTTATATTAAAAAGAATAATTCATCAACATTTTCTTTTCTTCATGTTTATTTCTCTTTCTTGTCTTGTATATAATTGTGAAACACCAAATTAATTAATTAATTAGTTAATTTATAATGTGCATTAATGGCAGGGCATTGCATGAGAAGGAAAAGAGACCCAGAGGAGGCCGTACAAAGATGCAGTTCTTCATCATTATTTTCACAAGCAGCTTTGCTTACTACATTATCCCAAGTTTCTTCTTCCCCTCCATAACAGCTCTCTCCTTAGTCTGCTGGATTTGGAAGGACTCAATCACAGCCCAGCAGATTGGTTCAGGGCTCAAGGGCCTTGGAATTGGCTCTTTTGCCATTGATTGGTCCACCATTGCTTCCTTCTTGGGCAGCCCCTTGGCCTATCCAGATGTTGCAGTCATTAACATGTTGATTGGCTTTACTGTGATCTTTTACATTGTTACCCCCATCATCTATTGGACCAATACATATGATGCTAAGAGGTTCCCACTATTTTCCTCTCACACTTTTGACCATGATGGCCAAACCTACAACGTCAGTCGAGTTTTGGATGAGAAAACTTTCGATATGAATTTGAAGGAGTATAGCGGTTATAGTAAACTCTATCTCAGTGCCTACTTTGCCTATGGCTATGGATGGGGCTTTGCCACTCTCACAGCTACTATTTCACATGTTGCACTCTTTTATGGAAAGTAAGTTTTTCCGGTACTGGCCTACTACATTCATTCCCGAATCCTGAATCTCGAGTCCCAAGTCCTATGTTAAACGTATGTACATTAGTATCAAGTGACCGAAATCAAAACCTAATCCAACACCGGACTTGATATATAATAGAATGAATCTTATTTAAGTATGACACAATCTAATTTCCTAAACTCTGCGATGTTTTCTTCCTCTTTGTGTGACATCATGCATCATGAACAGAGAAATATGGCAACTGTGGAAGAAGACGACTGGTGCAATGAAGAATCAGCTTGGAGACATCCACATGAGAATAATGAAGAGGAACTATGAATCAGTCCCTGAATGGTGGTTCCAAACCATCCTTGTTTTGATGGTTGCTCTTGCCATCTTTACTTGTGAAGGTTTCGGCAAACAGCTCCAACTTCCATGGTGGGGAGTTTTACTAGCTTGTGCCATTGCACTATCTTTCCCCTTACCCATCGGGGTTATTGCTGCCACAACAAACACGGTATGATTTTGGTCATTTCATTTATATACAATCGTATCGTACGTACTCTTTTGTTAGATTGAAAACACATACGTACATACATGAATACGCCTACGAATATCTACTATATGTTCAGTATTTGGCATAATTCTGTTTCAAAGACTCGGTAGTAATTTTTCATTTTTCATTTCAACATTTATTGTGCAGCAACCAGGCCTCAACATAATTACAGAGCTAATTATCGGGTATATGTACCCAGGGAAGCCTCTTGCTAATGTGGCTTTCAAGACCTATGGATATATCAGCATGTCACAAGCACTCATGTTTCTTGGTGACTTTAAATTAGGTCACTATATGAAGATCCCTCCTAAGGACATGTTTTTTGTGCAGGTAATTATCAAGAAAACTCCATTTGTCACTCCAATTCAAGCCAAGACAATTTATGAGAATAGTTCATGCCGAGACAATCTTCCATAACAAACGAGCTGAAGCGACCAACTTGGCAAATGACTGAAAGACTTGTTGCCGGATCAAGAATATAAATTTAGTCCCAATTCAAGCATCACCAAACATCGGTTAAGTGTTATTCAACTTAATCCAATTCAAGCCAAGACAATTTATGAGAATAGTTCATGCCGAGACAATCTTCCATAACAAACGAGCTGAAGCGACCAACTTGGCAAATGACTGAAAGACTTGTTGCCGGATCAATTGCCCAAGTCTGTTCGAATGACACCATTATTTTGTCTTCTCTGATGGATCAATCTGCCAAGTGTTCCCCTCACGCATAAATGCTGCACCGGCTTCTCAAAGAAGCTAATAAGTTTCAAAATTGGCAGCCCATCCCACACGTCACGTTGCCTTTTAAAAGCCACACAACCATATTTGTACAATTTGAGTGACAAAGTCAAAAGAATTTTCCACATAAAAGAATTGATTTGTAGGCCAAAGAAAAATCAAATCATGATATAAGTCAATGTTCCTAACATTTTCCACTAAAAAATTATATCCTTGTTGTTGAGCTTGGTCGGATTTTACTTTTTGTTGTATTGTTGTGCCTTTTTGTGGTTTCTTAATAAAATTTAGGGTTTTTCCAATATAGGTCCCTACAATTTTTATTTCCTAGACATACACCCACCATTCTATGAATCTATGTGTAAAACCCAATTTTAAACTTAAATGACCAGTAAGATATAAGAAGTCATAATATTCCCATGTTTTTACATCATTGCCATCAGACTTCATATTTTATTTATAATGTATTCCAAGCATTTCATTAATTGCCATAATTGTAATTAAAACTCCATATTAATACCTAAAATGCAAGTTAAATATAAAAGGGAAGTAAAAAACCATAGAAGTTAGGCAAGGAAGTTTAAAGTGCAGTAATCTGCAGACAGAGAAAACTTTTATCTTGATGTGAATGGAAAAAGTCTGGCTTATGTATCTTATGCTTCACAATTCAGATTCACTGTATACAATTTTTTGTTTAATTCACCAAAAAAAAAAAAACAATTTTTGTTGGATGTTTACCCTATATGTAATATAATATAGTACTAGGCTCTCCGCACGCGTGCGAGAGGCTTTTTTATAAAAAAAAATTAAATTTATTTTAGAATTGAAAAAGATAATGGGTAGTTGTGTTCCATAAAAATAGGATTTATTATCTGATTTTTCTTTGAATTTTAATTTTTTTAAAAAATATGAAATGTGTGAATTTACCATATCATCCTCATTTAATTAATAATTTTAATTCTTAAATATAGATGAAGAATAGACGAAGAAGAAACTGAATGAAGAATCAAGGAAGAACTGCACCCATTATTTGACTAGGGCAGTAGTACGTCTGCAAACGTATGTACAAAGATTCCCAATCTAATACGATTTTTTTTTCTTAGGTTTATGTGGGTTTTAAATTTGAGGACATTGGTGTCTATTTAGGTGAGTTTTTTGCTATATTTGAAATATTTTACAAAAACTGACATTTTGGGGGTCAAGTTTTGGCCATTTTTGATAAATTCTCAAAGAGCTTTCGCTTTTTGTTTATTGGAATCTAAAAACTGTTTATTGACAACAACAAAATCAGCTTAACCAGAAAATAGGTAACAAATGTGAACGAGTTCTTTTTTTTTTTTTTTTTTTAGTAACAAAATTTCATTCAACACTCCAAAGAGAGTACATCAGCTTCAAGCACAGGGAGCAACCATATTGGTGCTTCCTCAATCCAGGTGACAAAATCATTACAATGAATCGCAAACTAAGCCAAATCATGTGCCACTTTATTACTGCATCTTGGAGTCCATTGACATCCAACTGCTCTAAAATTATTAAGTAGAGATTTCACCTCCTCAATCAGTAGACCATCTACTCCATTGCACTCTGTTGAAAGAATACTATGAATGCAATCTTGTGCATCCATTTCTAGAACAGCATCAGTAAATCCCATATCAATAGCAAACCGCAGTCCCTCTATAGTAGCCATAAGCTCCATTTGCCTAGCCCCGTAACTGGCTTGGATTCTCCTAACACATGCGGCCATAAAGTCCCCGTTCTCATTTCTGACAACCACCCCAACCCCACGGATGGAGTCTCCAGATTTGAGTGCCCCATCTACATTTATTTTGTAAATACCTACTGCTGGAGGCCTCCAAACGTGCAAAGAAGCTTGAGGGCTAGACTGACGACCATGACTTGTGTGAGAGCTATTGTTTACGTCAAAGAATTCTTGTGCAAGTGTATGCATTCGATGCAACAACTGTGTTGCAGTTTCTGATTTCGCTTCAAAAATCAAGCTGTCCCTCCAATTCCAAAGGCCCCAGCACAGATATGCAAACAACCCTTGTTCTTCCCCACCTGAGGATATCTGTACTGCATACCATAGCTCTCTAAAAGAATTGACCCTCCACACCTCACAGACGTTCCCCCAAGCTGAGTTGCGCCACACCTCCTTTGCAGCCTCACACCACCATACAACATGTAGAACACTTTCAGATTTGCGGTGACATTGGGGATAGCTAGGTGTAGACGCTATTTTCCGATTGAATAGTGTCTGACCGCAAGGCAAAAAATCCCAAACACACCTCCATAGAAAGAACTTAATCTTATTTGGGATTTTAAGAGCCCAAATTTTCTTCCAAAACCTTGAACTCAAGTTGACACCAGCAGATGACTCTCCACACATTATATCCTTCTCCAAACGTGTCAACTGATATCCACTTTTAACCGAATACATGCCGTTTCTTTCATAATTCCAAATTAAACAATCGTGACTTGCCAAGGAAACTAATGGAATTTGCAATATTGCTTCCACCTCTTGGTCCCAAAAAATATCCTTAAGTAATGGCACATTCCATTGGCCTGAAGAGGTGAATAAATCACAAACCAGTGTTGAGAGTGGCAACTGTGGAGCAGACATGATTTTGAAAAAAGAAGGGACTGGAAGCCATTTGTTAGTATAAACCTGGATGGACTCTCCATTGCCAACTCTCCAACGCAATCCCTTGTTAAGCAACTCCTTCCCCCATTGCAAAGACCTCCAAATGAAAGATGGGTTGGTTCCCACTCCAGCTTCTAAGAATGGTGCTGATGGATGGTATCTAGCTCTAAAAATCCTTGCTACCAGCGACTCTGGAGTTTGGATAATGCACTAGCATTGCTTTGTAAGCAAAGCCTGATTGAAAGCCTCAAGGTCACGAAACCCCAACCCTCCTGCAAACTTACTCTTACACAACATCTCCCACTTCACCCAGTGAATACCCCTCTTGTCCTTCACCCTTGCCCGCCAAAATTGAGCCATGATTCCATTTAGCTCCTTGCACAATCCTTTTGGAATCCGAAAACAACTCATCGAATAGGTGGGGATTGCTTGTGACACGGCTTTAATTAAAATCTCTTTCCCCGCTCTAGATAAGAGCTTTTCCTTCCACCCACTTATATGCTTCCAAAGTTTGTCTTTTAAATGTTGGAAGAGTTGTTTCCTTCCCTTTCCCGCGATAGTGGGCAAACCTAAATATTTCTCATGGCACTGCACAACAGGAACGTTCAAAGCACCTGCAATATCGAAATCTGCTCTTGTGGCATTCGGACTTAAAGAGAACGCAGACTTAGAGTAGTTGATTTGTTGCCCTGAGACCTCTTCGTAGATTTGGAACAAAGTTTCCAAAGCCATACAAACATCTTTCGTGGCCTTCATAAATAGAATACTATCATCTGCAAACAATAGATGAGTTACAAAAGATGCCCCCCCTTGCCACTTGCACCCCAATCAAATCACCCCTCCTTTCTGCACCACGCAATAGACACGAGAACCCCTCAGTACACATAAGAAACAAATATGGAGAAAAAGGACATCCTTGCCGTAACCCACGCTGTGGCTTAATATGCCCAAGAGGAGAGCCCTTCCAAAGCACAAAAAAGGTTGGAGTGGAGATGCAATCCATAACTTTTGCAACCCATGTGGATGAAAAACCCAGTTTGAGCATCATTTCACTTAAAAAAAAACCACTCCACTCTGTCATATGCTTTGGCCATGTCCAATTTGAGAGCCATTTTGACATCGCGCCCCTTCTTCACTCCCTTAATAGTATGCATTATTTCGAAGGCAGCCATCACATTATCCAGAATCATTCGGTTCGGTACAAAGACGCTTTGATTTTCAGTAATAACGTGAGGAAGAATAGCCTTCAATCGATTTGCAATTGTTTTCGCTATCATTTTGTAGACGGTCGTACACAAGCTGATCGGTTGGAATTTTGAAATAGTGGTTGTCATCTTGATCTTTGGGATGAGAGCTATAAGAGTATGGTTAAACTCCCGACCACTTTCTTCCCCGTTTAGAATCTGCAAACACTTGTCGACCACCTTATTGCCAACTATATGCCAATACTTTTGGAAAAATAAAGCTGGCATACCGTTATGCCCATGCGCTTTCGTTATGAACATCTGAAATAAAGTATGGTCCAGCTCTTCCCGCGTAAAAACTTGCAACAGCCAGTCGTTCGTAGCACTTGTTATTACAGGCCTTACCTCGTTTAAAATCCGCTCCATTCGCTGGCTACCGGAGGAAGAAAATAAAGTCTTGAAATAGTCACAGAACAGGTCCCCTATATCCTTTGCTCGTCAGTATGCCAAACCTGATTTTCATGAAATATTCCACACACCCTATTACGTTTAGATCTGGAACTTGCCCTCCCATGGAAAAAATGAGTATTTTTGTCTCCCTCCTTGAGCCACGCTACTCTGGATCATTGTCTCCACATAATTTCTTGTTTTTCTAAAAGCTCTGAAATGGTTTTCTCAACTTTAGCCTTTAACGCAGATTGATCAGTTGTCAGTCTTCCTTGAAGGGCTGCTAACTCCTTATAAGCATATTTTAATTGATTGCGAACATTGCCAAAATGGACATAGTTCCAAGTTTTGAGTTCCTTTGCACACATTGATAAACTGTTTTGAACACCTTTCACTCCGTCGGTAACCTT